TGGGAGGAGGGGAGGAAGAAAAAAAAGTTTGGCTGGATTCTCTTCTTGGCTGGTTTGGGTCCCCCCTCCCCAGGTCAGCTCCCTGCGCTGCAAGCGGGGTGTGGAGGGAGGGGGGTGGGGGGTGTGGGATGAGGCAAGCCACAGCCTGGTGACAGGGTTGCCAATTTCCGCCGCCACTCCAAAAACTTGCTCGGGAAATGTTTTCATTGACGAGGTTAATTTTCCTCGCTCGCGCTCTCTCTCTCTCTCTCCCCCTCTTTTAAGTTCCTTAAAAGACAAAGCTCTTCAGTCCTCGCAGCAGCAGCGGCAGGGAAGATGCAAGTGGAGAGATGTGGAAAATGAATAGATTGGATCAGTTCAATCTTCAGCCCAAATCCATTCTCTTGCTTTCCTTCTCCACCCCCCCCCCCTCCTTCTTTTTTTTCCCCCTTTCCTCCCCCCCTTAATCACTTCTTCTCGGTGGAGCACTGAGCAAGCTGCAACGATGAGACGGTAAATTCAGTCACTCCCCACCCCCCCTCCCCTCGTTTCTCCAAGATCAAAGAGTCTCAAAGCGCAACTTTCTCGCTCGCTGGCTTGTTTCAAGCTCGTGGATTTGTGTGTTGTTGTTGTTGTTGTTGGGTTTCTGTTTTTGGTTTTTTTTTATTGCGCTGATAATAGTTTTTTCTTTGTGCAAAAAACGAGGTCGATCCAGTCTCTCCTTCTCCTCTCAGCACTTAGTCTTAGAGCAAGAAAGCAAATAATAAAAAGGAGTAAAGTCCCCATACATACATATGCACCGGATGGGAAATGTCAGTCACTCCTCCACCTTCCAAACAGTCACAGATCAAACAGTGTCAGCACCGGAGAGGACTACTTTTCTGCCTTGCTCCCCCCTTTCTTTTCCTCCACAGATCGCAGCTTCTTCTGATACTAAATGTAATTCAAACACATTTTTATCATGGATTTTTTTGGTTGATCTTGATCTGCAACAGAAAAACAAACAAAAAAAGCCAAAACCAAGAAAAACCCCGGAGAGTGTGTGCAAAGGGGGAGAAAAAGCAAATATATTCACTGGGTGGGAGAGATTAACGTGAACTGTTTTCCCCCCTTTAAACTCCTGGGAGAGAAAGAGATCCACTCTCCCTCTTCTCTTTTCACTGAAATGTAACACACATTCAGATCCCAGAGCTTTCAGACAGTCTCAACTGATAGACAGACACATCGAGCTTGCTTTTCCTGCTTCAGCTTTTTACTCCTCCTCCTCTTGCCAACGTCACCCTGACAATTACAAATAGGTCTCACACAAACCCATACCTGTCAATCTTTTTAATTGCTGTGTTTTCATTTTTTTTCCAGAGCTAAACAATATGACCAAAAAGAAGTCTTAATACAGCATAGCATAAAAGATTTCTCATGTGAGGCACACACTGAGGGTTTTGTTATTATAATCCACTTGCTAAAGTACTCTGCAAGACGCATGTGCTGATTTAACTTAAGCAGATGTCTAGTTCTGGCAAACTTAAAAAGCAAGAGATGCTACCTAGTCTTGGCACACACACAAACATTATTCCCCCTCCTTGAATTTAGGATGATTTGTGTGAGATTGCAGGTCTCCCTTACTTTAAAACACCAACAGATTGCAGAGCAAGAACTGCAGCATATGAAATGCTGCTAATAGATTTTGCATAGTTTATGTCTAGGGATTCATATATTGTTAACTGCAAGAACAGAAGGTGTTTTCCCCTTTTTTTAAGGCAAGAAAATTAAAACTACATACTGATTCCCAAAAGAAAACACTCGAAGCTATAACTTTTCTTTCTTTAAGGCAAAAAGGTGATTTTTATTATGATTTTAATTATTAATACCAGGCAATTAAGAAATGAGTTGTGCATATTGAAATGATGGAGTTAATTCCAGGTGAGTTATACATGAATTCTTCCTACACCATTGCAACAGCTCTATTAAATTAACTTCCACCATCACCAAGTACAGACTGGCAGTTCCATCAAAACATTTACTTGAGTCCTTTGACCTCCCAGTTGATTTCCTATAAATACTCTCCCAAAAGTAATTCTGCATTGCAGAAGTTGATTTAAAAATCCTCTCCTAAAGATACAGAGGAGTAGAAAAAATATTTTTGGCCAAAATAAATATATGGCAATATTTTTAATGTCATAGCTAAAAGGGGGTGGGGGAAGGATTCACTGTTTCTTTTAACTGTACACCGGTTATAGAGAGCTATAAAATCCATGAGGCTGTAAAGTGCATTTCATGTGTGTGTGTCTCCCGCCTAGAAGGACATCAGCAGTATTTTTTTTTTCTTTATAGACAGAACACACACAAAAATCCTTAAAATGCTTTAAATCCTTTCATAAATCGTAGTGCTTTTATTCTCCCCCAAATCTAAGTGCTGTATCCACTAGTGGTTGCTAGCGGCTCTGGGTTGATTTGTACCACCTTGCAAGGAAGTGAATGTTTCGCACGGAAGGGGCGGTGCCTGTATCACCAGCCTGCAGCTCCCCAGCTGCTCCTAATAACAACATTAGAAGATTAGCTGCAACTTCTCTTTACTATTCTAACCTTATTGATCTTATAATTTATTCGTGTTTTCTTTCAACTTTTTTTAAAGGATCATATCCGTCTTTTATAAACTAGAGGCGTAGGGAGGGGGGGGAATGCGGCACGGTTTTATATTTATATATTTTAAATCCCTTGCTAAAATGCAGCATGCAAACTAAAAAACAAACATTTGAACGGAATATCTTGCAAATCTGTATTTTACTGAAAGTAAGAAATCCCTGGCAGCGGTGATCAGATGCGGTTATATTATTACAGAGGCAGGCAGGCATGCATGTGTTTCTGTGTTGTTGCAGATCACACACAAACACATGCACCCACTATTTTTGCTGTAGCAGCAGCTTTGCAGGCGGGACTGTGTTAGGAGGGTGAACTTTGTTCCTGTTTCATGTTAGTGACGGTAAATGAAGATCAGCTCCAGGGGATCATCTTGCTGGTGCTGCTTCTTCTCTGGTGTTTCCGTGTTGTGGAGGGGCTGGGCTGGGAGGACGCAGACAGGCTGCAGCTTGCTACATTAGACGTTATTTACATACACAAATAGCTATGTTCAGAGAGTCAGAGTGTCTCCTCTTGTGAGTTTGGTGGTGGTGGGTTTTGCAAGCTGTCCGAAGAATCTTCTTAGCTGGACACCCCCCGAGGGTGATGAGTGTGGGAAAGAGGTCTAAGGCTGGGAATGAGTTTTAATACAAAAAGCAGCGCTTTGCTGAGGTGCTGGGGATCTCGGTTCTGGAGGAGGCGGCGGCAGCAGCTGTGTCCTCTGGAAGGTCCCTTCTGGTCCTGCTTTGGTGGTGCTCGGCCCCGGCCCATATTGGACATGTCCTACTCCCGTCACTTTCTGGATTTCCAGGGCTCGTCTATCCCCAGCTCCATGAAGAAGCTGGTGGTGACTAAGCTGAGCTCAAACTTCCGAGAGGCTGTTGCCCTGCGGCAGGACGCGCCTGTACCACTCCCGGGAGATGGAGATCTTCTTGTCAGAAACAGGTGAGTTCCCTTCCCCTCTCCAGCCCCCAACTCCTCTCTTCACCTACCTTCCTTCCTAGCCCTGGGGTCTGAGCCCTTTTCCTGCTCAAACTCCTTCTGACTTCTCACCTCCTGTGGCCTTCTCTTGCTCTGTCATCCTATCAGGTTGTACCAGCTGCCATCTGGCGCCTGATAATTTGATTTTGTTGTTGGTTTGTTGTTGTTTGTTTTGAATGTCTGATGCCACAATCATTTCCTCCCATGCATTGGGGAGGATGGGGATTTCTGCATCTTTTGAGGTGCTCGTTTTTGTTTTGGTTTGTCCTTTTTTACAAATGCAGCTGATCAAGCAGTATTTATTCTCCTACCCCGGAGGAAGAACACAGCCTCACAAATCACTGTTTTAGTAGCCATTTTCAAGGGTGGGAAAGGGCAGCATGATCTTAAACAGAAAGCTGCACGTGAAGTAAGTGTTCAGGAGGGACTGAAAAACCAGAAAATGATTTCTAAGTCCCTCCCAGGTTTGTGTGTGTTACATTTACATACAATCACCAGCGTGTGTGTCTGTCTTAGCCATGTAAATGTCGGCGTGACATTAATATATAGCAGTCTGCCTCTGTGTTATGTGTTATTTATAGCCATGGTCTGAGTGTGTAAGTGTAGATAGACCATACACCAATGATTGTTTTATGTGTTATGTATGTGTACAACCGTGAGTACGTTTCCCTGTATGTCTGGAGGGGTTTCCTCCCCCTCCTCCCCCTGTAGTCCTCCACGTCAGTAACCTTTAGTGAATATGAATCAACAGGAAGGCAGAGGACCTCAGTCTGTCAGTGCTACTCTCCTTCCCCTGTCACCCTTCAACCGCCTGGCCACCACTTCCATTCTCTTCTTCCCCCTGAAGTGCAAACATTAAAACCAGGAAAGGAGAAGCTTCTCGATGTGCCATAAGCTTTTAACAAACCGCATAAGCCTCTCCAGCCTTTCAGAAAGTTTATTACCACTGCTAGTCTCGTGTGGGAAGTAGGATTTCTAAATTGTTAGCTATTTTTAATGAAACAGGGTCACACAGGGAGTAAAGATGTGACATTTTGCTTAACATAATATGCAGTAAATTGTGTGCTAGCTAGTACTGTCCGTTCAAGCTTCTTGGTCAGCTCCCAATAAAATGAAGACTGTAAGGACAAAATGTACCTTTCCCCAAATGGCTTATTTATTTTTATTGGTTCCCGCCTAGATGGTATCGTTCCTTAAGACAAAAGTAGGGCTTTTAAAGGTCTAACTTTCCTTGGTAGAAGCTGGAACTCTAGAAACCCCATGGAAGATTATGTAATTGTTGCTGTCAAGAGGGGAAAGGGGGAAACTTGTTTTTAAAAGACTTGTCTAACAAAAACCTTGTCCCTACGTAGAACTGGTTGTTTAAAGACAGTGCATAATGAAATACACTAACAGACGTGAGATCAAAACTGGAAGTTTAATAGAAATGTTTGTGTACCTTATCTGTAGCTAATCTGTGTGTGTGTGCGCGCGCGCGGTGGGGGGTTCATAATATATGTAATATGCAATACCTGCACACGGAAGAGAGAAGCATGGACTTCTAAGACTGAAAAAGATTCATACAAAACTTTAATCCGCTGCTGCTATCAACCTATAGGATTTTTGAGAGAGAGAGTTAGAAAGAGCGAGAGCTGTGTAAAGCACTGACTTGCTGCATCTAAGAAGGAATGGCCCTGAAACAATAATGGCATGAAACACGCATCAGGCTGGAGTTAAATTCCTTTTCGTGGAAGGGACCCGACTGCCTTACACTACAAACAGCTACAGAAAAATGTAGCGAGTCTTAGTCCTGCCTAGCTGGATATGATAAGGTTGTTACGTCGTTGTTCTCTAATCCCCTCCCCCCCACTCCCCCCACACACTGTCTCTCCCTCTTTTCCTATGAAATTTTAAAATTTATTCATGTAATTTATTTTGTTTTCAGTGTAACGCTTCCTTCCTTCTCTTCCCCCCCCCCTTCCTTGGTCCTGGGTGGGCTCCCTGGGTGCCAGAGGGACGTGCACACCTCAGAGTGGTGGGGTTGAGGCTCTCAGCTCGCCCCAGAGTGAAAGCAGGAGCTGATCCAGAGACTCAGGCAGGCAGTTACTGTATTTTAACACAGATCAGTTTATAAAAAGGGGTGGGAGTGGGGGAAAGTACTCAATTGAGGTTTGGAGTTAAAACATTTTGTATTGTTTGGGGTTGTGCGGAGTTTTCTCTTTATTATTATTTGCTGGGGAATCTCACATCACATCCATCTATATATTCTCTGTTTGTGCCTCCTGAAAGCTGCAGCAGGAAACAAGCCCCCCTTTCCCCTTTTGTACTATCCTGGAGAAGCTGCTTCCCATCCCGAAAGGACAAAATGTGTCCCTGGCTTTATTTATTCTTAAAAACACATTTTACAATAGGTAGAAGCCTACAGGATCTTAAAAACAAAACAATACATGCCTTGAGTTTGAAGGGTGCAGTTGCGGATTTGTTCATTTTAGTCCCAGTCACGCCCATGAACAGTATTAATTGCTTCGAGCTTTTTATGCAAAACAATCCTCATTCACCACAGTAAAATCTGCTTTTGGATTTAGGGGACTAAGGTGGAAAACTGCTTTGGGGTCCTTGTATTTATTGATTTTCAAATAAGACGCTCTGCTATTAAGTGGAACTTCCCCCCCCCTTTTTTTTTTCCTTCGGTGGAAAAATAACCCAAGATGATTCCCTTAGTTCTTAGCAGAAAAATCCATCATAGCCTTTACTCTCAGAGCAATGCTTTTAAACTAGAAATCGATTTAAAACAATAAACTTTCTCTTTCGGGTGAAGGAGGGAGGGAGAAGGGGAATAGAATCCTTAACATAACCATTTACGCTTCTTATGTGCATTTGTTCTATTTTCAAGAGGGGGAAGGTGCCTCTGTTTTATTGCAGAAGAACGACCCAAAGACAAAAGCCCAGGTTTCCCCTAAGTTATGCGATGTTTTCGAGCTTTTTGTAAAGGAGTGACAGGTTATTTCGTTTCCAAAATATTTTTAACGATTTTCTGCTAAGGTGGAAGTCAATGGGGGGAAAAAAGTTTATTGAAATGGAAGGGGGGAAAGTTTTTGATTCATGGTTTAACGGATCACAGTGGGGGGGTGGGGGATTATTTCTGCTGAGTGTTTGGGTTGAGAATTTGTTTTTCTTCTGCGCTCCTAGTTTGGATTACTTTGTTTTGTCTCTGTGTTGACGGCTCTTGTGCTGAATTTCTGTCTCTTACGTTTTGTTTTGGTGCGAGAAGCAGCATTTTCACCCCTCCTCGGGCTCGTCCTGGTTTTATAATAAACAGTACTAAAGGGGTCAGCACGCTCCAGTGTAAATAAAGCGGGTGACTCGGAGTGTGTAGTAATTTTGGGAAAAGCCAGCCCCAGTCTGGTTCCGTGTCTCAGCGCTTCAGATTTTGAAAATAGCGAAAGACGGTGCCCTCACCAGACCCTCCTTAGTCAAATAACAAAGACATTTTAAATTTGGGAATTAAAACAGGCAGATCACTTGAAAAGAATTCTGAAGGCATACAGCAAACACAGAGTGCACTTCTTTACTCCCCCTCTACACCCACCTCGTCTCGCTCTCTCACACACGAGTTTGGAAGATGATCTTGAATTTATTCCTGCGCTTAAAATGAAAGGTTCTGAAAACGTCCGGGGCACAGCACAGCAAACCATCTCCCTCGTAGTACCTTGAAAGGCAAGGTTCAAAAGGATTTAGACAATATGTTTTAATCCCGACATCGTGGTTTGATCATTTTTTTGCATATGGGACATTTAGGGAGACTACATTTAAGAAATAAAACTATATGCGAACACAAATGGGAGTTATACAAATATTGGTGGGTTGAGAAAAAGGAGTGGGGTGGGGAGTACTATAGCAAACTTGGAGACTATATTGATTAATAATAATGATTCCCCTAGTCCTGAGAGAATCATTTCAGATGGCAGAGGCAGCTTGGAAGACTGGGGGGGGGGGGGGTGGGATGGTCAGAACAAATATTACCAGCAAGCCTCGAACACATTATATAGTAGTTCGCATTTCTTTATTTCCTCCTAATCATCTATTATTATTTTGCTGAGACTCCTAGTCCCGTTTTAAATGGAAAATGCAGGGATCGCGAACAAGAGGACAGTCTTTCAAATGTTTTCTCCACAGGCTGACCTGTGCGTATCTCAAAATCCCTTAGTAATACAGCCACCGAATAAACGCAGACCCCAGTTCCAGTTGAGATGGAAAGGCATCCGCATCTGCACATAAAGCCTTGCATAGGAGGGATAGCTGCAAGTGGCCAAGTGCTGGAGAAGGAGGTGGAGATGCCGGGGTGGAGAATAGGAGCCAGAGGGAGGGAGTGCTAGGATGGAATGTCCTCAGAGAGATGCCCCAACTCTTAGTCCCTGGCCGACCCCCGAAGTCCCGCTGAGACATCACACGCCTATTGGTGCCAACACTAGCACTTTCCCCCTATTACGGTTACCATAAAAGGTGGGGAGGTGCCAGGCAAGCACCAACTTCTTCTGCACTGTGTCTTTCCCCGAGATCTGCCATTGCATCGTCCTCTCTCACGCACACACGTTTCAGCTGCTGGTGGAGCCGGGAGAAGAGAATTTGCATTTTCTCCTGGTAAAAAGCAGCATGTTAAGGATAGTTGTTTACCAGACATCTGGCTAACTGCAGTACTTCCATTCCCCCCTCCCCTTCACACACACACAAAGTTTCCAGCTTTAGATGGTTAATTACCTGCCTTGCTCTGTCCCTCTCTTTCCATTTTAAGAACGATGCTAAGTGAAAAGAAGATGGGACTGCAAAGGGTGGGAGAGAAAAGTTTTTATTTTAAATTCCTCCCCTCTCTACGGTGCCTACAGGGGATGCCTGTTTCATACAGTGCAAAAATCAAAGGCGCATGAATAGGCTCTCTGCACCAGGAGGGAGGTTCTGTCTGTACCAGGCAAGGAGGCTAATTCAGGGGTAAATTGGCTGGGAGTGGAGGAGAGGTGGTAAATCCATGGGTTGAAAGTTATCGTTGTAGGGATAAGGGAGGGAAAGGAGGGAGATAACCATCTCTCTGCTTTTAAACCCCACTGCTAAAAGTTGGGTTTTTAAATCTAATGCAGAGTTGTAGCACCAATTGCGCCTTGGCTTTCTGATCATTTTTCTCAAATGTCCTGAGGAGATATGTTTTGATGTAGAAGCTGCTGGTGGTTGTATTTTTTTTTTTTTTTTTAAGAATGGGACATGGGAATTATGTAAATTAAAGAAGAATGGTAGATTTTTTTTATCTATAAATAGGATGTAGACATTCTTTGTTACAATTAAACAGGGGATTAAATGCAGAATTAAGGAAAGCAACAAAAGTCACATTCTTCTCTCTCCGCCGGTGTGTGTATATTATATATATTTATATTAATAGACTGTCTCACTCTGTGTGTGTGTGTGTGTATATATATATACACACACACACACGATACACACTTTATATTAGTGAAAGTCTGAGATTCTCCATAGTATAAAGAACTTAAAAATCAAAATAAAGTATTTTTTCATTTTCTCATTTCTTTGTGTACTGTGTGTGTAAACACTTTAAAATCTCACACACACAATTTGAAAATATTGCTAACTCTGACGGTTAAAATTGCACCGTTTGCATATTTCTACAGCTTTTCATACAACACCAAATTCTATAATCTTTAGGTTATCGCTTCCACATGTAGTAAAAATCTGGGATTCTTCTGCTGCATGTGCAAGCTTCTTGACATTTTCTAGTTAACAGACTCTCCCCCTCCACTTTCTCCTTTTGTAGCAAGGTATTTTAGTTATGAGCTACATTGACATGGAAAAATATTGTTACTAAAATATCACCTGTACAATTAAAGTAGATCATGATACCATGATTATCTTTTACTGCTAATCAAGTTTAGTATATGTGTGTGTTTTTTTTAAAACATTGACTTTTTTTTTCACCTGTTAGAGGTCAATAGGACTTCTAAACATTGAATACTCTGTTACAATTTCAGTCCTTCTGTACAATGCTGTTTTGATGTGTTGCAAGTAATTGGTTTAAAGCAAAATATTTTAATAATGTTGAAATTGACAAATTTCCGATAGTCACACCAGCATTTAAAAAAAAAAAAAAAACTTGCCTTCAGTAACATGTTATGATCAATGACCTTGCAGATGACATTTATACTTAATATTATCGTTAGTCATTAACAGTATTATTATAATCAGAAATGTAAATTTGTTGCCAGAATCAACATATTTAGCACTTTACCCTATTTTATTCCACAGAGTTGTTTTTATATCTTTTGTAGAGTGGTCAATTAATTTTAATTTTCCAGTCTCATACACAATTATTTTTGGTTTGCTTATTTTGGTTAAAATGGCCATGTGGAAAATGTCTTATTTTTAAAAATGTGTCTAAAATTTCTACAATATTAGAAACATAAGGTACAAAAGTCTGATTAAAATCACTGCTATGCTATGTATACGGATTTTTTTTTTAATAGTGTGAGGTGAATATTTTTTCTAATTACTGGTATATTTGAATATGCATTGTTATATCTTACCCAGAAAATGTAAGTGGATGTGTTTTCACATGGCAAAGTACTGGACAAAGAAAGCATGTTAACAAATTTTTGTTTTCTTCTAGATTTATCGGCATTAATGCATCTGATATAAACTACTCAGCTGGCCGGTATGACCCTTCAGTTAAACCCCCGTTTGATGTAGGTTTTGAAGGTATTGGTGATGTGGTAGCCTTAGGCCTCAGTGCTAGTGCCAGATACACAGTAGGCCAAGCTGTGGCCTATATGACACCTGGTTCTTTTGCTGAATATACAGTTGTGCCTGCCAAACAAGCAGTTCTTCTACCTTCTGTGAAACCTGAGTTTCTTACTCTAATGCTAAGTGGCACTACAGCATACATCAGTCTGAAGGAGCTTGGACAATTGTCTGAAGGCAAGAAGGTTTTAGTGACTGCAGCATCGGGAGGAACAGGCCAGTTTGCTGTGCAGCTTTCAAAGAAGGCAAAGTGCCATGTAATTGGAACTTGCTCCAGTGATGAAAAGGCTGGTTTTCTGAAATCCATTGGCTGTGATCATCCCATCAACTACAAAACTGAAAATGTTGGTGCTGTTATTAAAAGGGACTACCCAGAAGGTATGGATGTAGTGTATGAATCTGTTGGTGGAAAGATGTTTGACTTGGCTGTCAACTCCTTGGCTACCAAAGGGCGCCTGATAGTTATTGGGTTTATCTCTGGCTATCAAAATCCTACTGGCCTTCAGCCTGTTAAAGCAGAAATGTTGCCAGCAAAACTGCTGAAGAAATCTGCCAGCATCCAGGGTTTCTTCCTGAACCATTATCTTTCTGAATATAAAATGGCTATGGAGCACTTACTCACAATGTATGAAAGTGGAGAACTGGTTTGTGAGGTGGACCTCGGAGACATGTCTCCAGAGGGCAAGTTCACTGGCTTGGAGTCTGTATTCCGTGCTGTAGATTATATGTACATGGGAAAAAACATTGGAAAAATTGTAGTTGAATTACCTAACTCTGTCAACAGTAAGCTGTAAAAACAGAACAATGATATAAATCAAGAGAGAGAAAATAGGCACTTTATGCCTCAGAATTACTAGAATCCATTTTTTTTTAAACTTGGTAAAGGATAGTATATTAAAACTATTAAGTTGTTAATAAAAAGTTTTGATTAAAAAAAAAATTAGCCAGTGCCTGTAGGACTTAACGTGCTTGTGTTTGATTCTGTAACTTTTACAGGCAGTGGTGCTTAGGGTAATACTAGATATGAACATTATTCTGGGCACTTAGAATAAATGATGATGCAGAGGCTGATCCATCAGTTTCTTTGATAAGATTTTTAAATCCTGTTTGGAAACATTACATTTCATATGCGTCATTTCAGCAATTTAGATCCTGTGATTTTAAAAATATCTTTCATATACAGCAAAACAAAACATTTTGTTGATGCTTTGTTAACCCTTAACATTTCTGGGAAACCAAAGATAATTTTTATCTTTTTACTTTTTTGGGTTGCAAACTCAGTAATGATATTATGGCTACTTTGTGCATGATAATCAGATATCATGACATGTTCTATATGGAAAATGTATCCATTAGTTCTAACATGGCAGAAAAATGGGGGGTGGGGGGAAGAAGAGGGAGGGAGGGAACACAATTTAAAAAAAAAATGACAGAGTCTGCAATTACACACAACCCTGCCATTTTCATTCAAGCCTTTGGTTACCATTTGGAACAGTCATTTTATACTTTTGCCGTGGTGTTTATTATCTTTATTGTTTACCCTTTATTCTCCCCATTAACCCACAAGATGGGCTAATTGGGCTTTAGTTCTAAATTGTGTTTACATGTATTATGGTCCTTTACTTGTACTAACAGTTTAATAAAGTGCAGAAAGCTATCTCCGTGTGTGTGGTATTTTTTCATATTGATAGACTTCTTGTAGATTAGCTCTTCCATAGAGGTGCAGTATATTATAATGTACTTAAAACAGTGATGAATATTTGATACAGCTTCTCATAGCAAAGTTAGTAGTTATTATTTAGTATTGCTACTGTGAAGGCCTCATGGCAAAGAGCAAGGTCATTTGTATAAATTCTCTGTGCCCAGTACACATCATGTATAAATAAAAACATAAGTAGGGAATAGTTTACACCAGCGGTTCTCAAACTGTGAGAGTTTGTTGGTCACAACCTCATTTTAATGGGGTAGCCAGAGCTGGCGTTAGATTGGCTGGGACCCGGGGCCAAAGCCGAAACCCAAGCCCCACTGCCCAGGGCCAAAGCCTGAGCCTCACTGTCCGGCCTCAGCCCTGGGCAGTGGGGCTCAGGTTACAGGCCCCCTGCCCAGGGATGAAGCCCTTGGGGTTTGGCTTAGGGCCCCCCTGCCCAGGGTGGTGAGGCTTGGGCTTTGCCCCCCCTACCCTCCTCGAGCAGCAGGGCTCGCTTCAGTCCCCCCTCTTGGGGACATGTAGTAACTTTTGTTGTTTGAAGGGGGTCGCAGTGCAATGAAATTTGAGAATCCCTGGTTTACACGGTGGGTTCAGTTAAAATGTTTGTTCTGTTTTGAAAGTTATTCCTGGCTGAAGAGGTGCTATTACCTATACGTAAAATGGGAATACAACTTAGACGTGGTAACATTTTCCAAAACAGTTAATCTTTTATACTGTACCTACTGTACATTTATTTTTACTACAGTAGTTACACTTTTACTCCAATATATCTGGTCCTCTCTAGCGTTTAAAAAAAAAATTCATATCCATGGGCAATAGAAGTGTCTGAGAAAACAATTCAGATCTGTACTAACTGATAAAGTTCAGACAAGGAACCATAGTTGTTAACAGTCTGTCATGAAGAACAATATTTTGAAGTCGGGTAACTAAAGTTGTGCACCAAAATCCATATGTAGTCACCTAAATAGGTGCCCTGATTTTCAGAGGTGTTGATCATCTGAAGTTCAATAGATTTATGTGCCCATTTTTAGTCATCCCAGTCTGAACATTTTGGCCTAAGATTTGTTATGTATAGTAGTATACCATATGCATATATGACATCGAGTATTTCATAAACTGTTACTAAATTACTAAAGATTATTTAGAAAAGTAAGTGCCACAAGCGCCATCACTAATACAAATAAGATGAGGGAATAGAGGCACCTTTGGCACATTCTTATACGCCTCTACCCCGATATAACACTGTCCTCGGGAGCCAAAAAATCTTACCGTGTTATAGGTGAAACAGCGTTATATCGAACTTGCTTTGATCCACTGGAGTGCACAGCCCCGCCCCCTTCCGGAGTGCTGCTTTACCGCGTTATATCCGAATTCATGTTATATCAGGTCGCATTATATCGGGGTAGAGGTGTATTTATATTCAAACGTGACATTATTTGTGTTTGTTCTAATTGTACCTTTTGGGCTACTCTTCAGCACTTCAGTACACTTATAACATTATTACCAAAGTTCAACTTCTTTATATGTAGAATTTGAATTCCCTGTTTACTGATTCTAAAAACTTTTGTTGTCTATGTTGGCTGTAGCAATAGGTTTGTCATTTTTATCAAACTTCTCCAGTATGTTAAAGAGATGTCTTGAGATATGTATGATTGTTCTTCCATGAATGAATCCAAGATAGTCAGGGATCTTTTTCCCCCCCATTTTTTAAAGATAAGTTATTACTGGTTGTTTTAGATTACTGAAGAGAGCAGCTTTATCTGGAAAAAATGCAGGTATTTGAGGCATACAGATGATCTTTTCCCTATTGATACCGCTGATAATTCTCAGGAATGTGAGAACATAGACAACTTTTTTCTTTTTTTATTCAAAAGTATGTATTGTGAACTGGCTACAGTATGCATAAGGCTCATTTTGGATAAGCAAGCTGTGGTGTATATACATAATGCTACAGTATTAGATGGACAAGAGAATATATATGGCATGCACACAGTGAGGTTTAAATAATGATAGGACATTGAATGTACAAGGAAAAGAAATAGTGTAGATTCACAGCAAGGGATTAATAACAATACACTTAATATGCTTGCAAAAAAAGGTGTATTAAAAGCTGTGTGCACAGTGGGGACTTAAATGATTAAAAATAATAATACATGTGCCTGGGAAGTACTAAGTATACTATGTGTAGAGAGTGGGGATTTAAATAATAATATTAATAATAGCAACTGATCAAGCTGTACTTGCTGGTGCTACATCCTAATTTTACCTTTCTAAATGAATTTGCTACGACAGAACCTAAGATTGCTTGTTGAGGCTAATGACAGAGTTCTCCCTTCCTACACACGCACACTTCCATGGAAAACAACAAAGAAATGTAATGAAGGGCTGGCTATATGCTGCTTCTCTCTCTCTCTCTCACTCACACACACACACCCTACTGTATATACAGGTCTGACACACACACTATTGTATATACAGGTCTGTACCCCTCAGCACATTTTACAGAGGTGCTCCATACTTAATTGCCATCCTGGAATCTCCTAATGCCTTTTTGAATTAAGTTAGATTGCTAGCAGGTTATAGTTTTTGATGGTTTATGGTGGGTTTTTTTTCAAATAAGTGGCCAAGTATAGCTGCCATGTCATATACATACAAATAATTACAGTTGCTCAGGGAAAAGTTTGAAACAGTATTTGAAAATGTTATTTTTTTTCTCAGTCTGAGGAGTAAAGAAATTCCACTGCTGAATGGCCGTTAGTATCTATTTTACAAGATTTACTCATTTTCAGGTACCTAATGTAGCTTCTAGCATGCATGCACAACAATACAATTTATATGGTAAATGGAACCAAATAATGGCTTCACTGAATGTTATGGCTGCACTGAAGGGAAATGTCACGGTAAATAGCTGCCAAATTATGGATCATGCCGAAGTGTCACAACTGCACTAAAGACAAATAGCACTAGAGGCTATTGCCACTGTGATGCTTTTGAGTTATGAAGAAGAGGAGCAGCCTGATGTGAGGCTCTTTGTGTCCTCATTATAGCAAAGGGTTACTGCTGCAATGTACAAGAAAACCCAGTCCAATGTGGTGGTTAGTTATTAATCTGTCCCTTTCAGATCTAACAGCTGTGGCAAAATAGAAAATCTTTGCCTTGAGTTAACACACACACAAAAACCTGCAGATTTTATGAATGTAAATGTGTATGGGAAATGACTAGTAATGGAAAAATGTTGTAATAAAATAATCTAATCAAAGAATATTATTAAATTTAACATAGTATGTGTCTGAAAGGTTTAGTTGCTTCTTATGCAGATAGATGTGTGAAATATAAGCAATAATGCACTTTCTCTCTTTGTAAAGACGTGCGTAGTAAGGACATTACCAACTAAATTGCTTCTTCTAAACTGAAGTGAGTCCCGGTTTCTTTCATTTTAATGGGAGGGTAATAAAGATGAAAGACTAACGTTTTAACTGATGGATCCCTTAAGCTAAAGAATAGAAATTTATTATGTTTTGAGGGGATATGCTAAATCCTGAAATGTGGGAGAGGGGGGAAAATCCCAGGTAAAATAAAATCTAACTAAAAAATATTCTCATGAAATGTGTTTTTACAAATGGAAAAACTATGCAACTGTTTTTATTTATGATCAACAAGACTATTTTCTCATTCAGACACAATCTCAGAAATATATTTTTAAAATGGAGGGTCACAACTCAGCAAGGGCTCTATCTTTTCTCAGATCATTGTACAAACCCAGCCTGCAATGTTAAATGCAATGAGTTTGATGGTCTCAGCACCTTTCTTTGCAGACCATTGTACACACTACAAATGTACCATCCATAATTCAACACAGTTGTCAGTCTCGGTTTTAGAGAGGGGGCCCGGACTGAACAATCATGGTGGATAAATTACTTCTCAAGTCTAAGGAGAGTGGTCTTCCTTCCACATCAGGCTTAAGGTCATTGGCAGGGCAGTGAGTGAGCGGGGAGCTTGTATATTAACTCTAATGCACTACTAGTGTGTGGATAAATAGAGGGATTATACTAATTAATTACAATTATGTTTATTCTTTTTGGGGGGAAAACAGCTGAAGAGTAATTTTGTTCTTATATTTTTCTCCCTTACTACTTTTTTTACCCTATGTGCAAAAAAATA